CAATTGGCCGTCTTGGCTGCGTGGAGGTCCAGCTTCAGGCCACATTGGGGCAATCCGGAAGCCTCTCGGAGCATCCTTGAAGCAATTTTGATGCATCGAGAGCACTGTTCGGCTATCTTGGGGCCCCGTGTACGTCTCCTGTGCGCCTTTTGGGGCCTGGTGGGGGGCTTTGGGGGGCCTCGTCGGACCACTTGGGGACTCTTGGAGCCTCCTGTGGGCCTCTTAGGGCGGAAAGCTCTGCTGTTGTGTTCGCATTCCCCTTCTTGGGGCCCTCTTGGGGCCCTCTCGGGCCGTCTTGGGCCCCTCGGGCACCGTCTTGGGGCCCTCGTGGGCCGTCTTGGGGCCTTCTTGGAGGCCTCTTCGGCTATCTTGGAGCAGTCTTGGGGGCCACTTGGGCCGTCTTGGAGCGTCGGGATGCCAAAAGGCTGGGAACTCTAAGATCCACCAAAAGCCGATGGGAAAACCATGCTTCTTGGAACCTCTTCGGCCTTCTGGGGAGCTTCTTGAGGGCCTCTTGGGTTCGATTTGGGGGCCTCGGGGGCTTACTGAGACCCTCTCGGGGTGGAAGGCTCGGTTTTCGGTTCGTCTTAATTATCCCTCTTGGGCCCCCTTGGGGCCGTATTGGTGCCCTCTCGGGCTGTCTTGGGCTCTGTTGGAGGCCTCTTGGGCTAGCTTGGATTGGTCTTGGAGGCCTTTTGGGCCGTCTTGGAGCGTCAGGACGCCAAAAGGCTGAAAACTCTAACATCAATCAAAAACCTATGGCAAGATATTGATTTTTGCCTCTTGGGGCCTTCGTGGGAGGCCTCTTGGATACTCTTCGGCCCCCTGGGGGGCTTCTTGGGGTCTCTTGGAGCCTGTTAGGGGCTTCTCGGGGCCTCCCGAGAGCCTCTCGGAGTGGAAGACTCGGATTTTCGGTTTGTGTCAACCCTCTTGGCTCCATCTTGGGGCCGTCTTGGGGCCCTCTCGGGCCGTCTTGGGCGCCTCTGGCGCCGTCTCCCGTGGGCTGTCTTGTGACCGTCTTCGAGGCATCTGGGGATGCCTTGGAGCGGAAATTGAAGACTCTTGGGCCGTCGTGGAGCGTCAGGAAACTCAAAAGGCGAGAACTCGAAAATCGATCAAAGCCCAAAGGAAAACAAATTAGTTGTGCATCCTGCATGGGGCTCCTTGGGGGCCATCTTGGAGACCTCTTGGGGCGTCTTGGAGGCCTCTTGAACAGTCAGGGACCAATTCTGGGGTGATCTCGGGCGGTCATTGGTCGTTTTCGTTGTCTGGAAACGCCATTTCTGGCAATCCAGGGCCGTCTTCGGGCGACTTTACAAGGCCCCCAGCGCCACGGCAGGGCCCCCGGGCCCCCCGGTGCGAGGGCCCCGTCCCGGGCCCCGCCTCGTACCCGCGGCAGGGCGTCCCTGGGCCGTCTCGGCGCCCTCGTGGGGGCCTGTTGGGGCGACATTGGGTGTCTGAAATCCATCAAAAACCTAAGGACAATCAATGATTTTGGCGTTCCTTATGGCAGTGTTGGAAGCCTTGTGGGCCGTCCGGAGGCCATCTTTGGCGTGTTCAAACGATATGTCCTCGTTTCGGGGCCTCTTGGGGGCCTCTTGCGGCCCTTTTCGTCTGTGTTGGGGCTTTCTTGGGTAGTCTGGGGGCGGCCATGGGCTGTCTCGGCGCCCTCTTGGAAGCCTGTTTAGAAGATTTCTGGGTGTCCTGGACCGTCCTCCTTCAACCTCGGCGGCACTGGTCGTAAGACTTCCTGGGAACATGATTTGTTGGGGTGTCGTTGGGCGCCTCCGGAGGCTTCGGGGCCTGACGCGTTTCAGAGCGTGGCGGTAGGTAGCGCTGCTTGGGACTCTCGTTTTTTTATATCCTGGCAGGCGTTTATAAACATGGTTTTGGGAGAGGGCGGCAACCCGAGAATCATGTTCCCGGGAAGCTTTCCGAGAGCATGATTTGTTCGGCTCTCTTAAGAGGGGGGCCTCTGGGGGCTTACCGAGGGGCCCTCTTTGGCCTTGTCGGCAAGCCAATTGGAAACATGCTTGGGGCGGTGGGCGGAAGCCCAAGGAATCAGGTTCCTGGAAAGCTCTAATAAATACGATTTACCGAGGTCTCTTGCGGGCCCGCAGGGGGCTTCCCTGAGGGCCCTTGAGGGCTTATTGGGGCTTCCGGGGGGCCTCTTGGGAGCCTCACGGGGCTTCTTGGGAGCCTCTTGATGGCCTCCGAGGGCGTCCTAGGAGCCTCTCAGGCCGAACCTTGAAATGTCGCGCTCTTCGGGCCCTCTTGGGTCGCTCTTGGGGCTCTCTTGGGGCGCTCTCGAGGCCTCTTCAATTATCCGGGGAGCCTCCTGGGCCGTCTCTGGTCTTCCTTGGGAGCCTCTTCGGCCGTCTTGGAGCGATGTGAAGGGCCTCTGACGCCGTCCGGGACCGTGGGGAGGCGGAACATGCGAGAGCGCAAAAATGCGGGGCCCTTTGGAGGGGCCTCTGGCGGCGCTCTTGGGGCGTTTTGG